AAATGATATCTACCTTGTAGACTTTCTTTCTTGACCTTTACTCCCCATGTGTGCCAGATTTCCTATGCGGCTTTATAAATAGTGGCTTGTTATCATAAACAATTACATCACACAGTGTACGAAGGCACCCTACAAGCTGCCAGCTTTATTAAGTTAATAATAGATTTCAAAGTGTGAATCCTAATTAATTTCATTTTCCATACGCACACGAGGCTCCATGGGAAGCCAAAATTATAGAGTAGCCATATGGTGCCTCATAAGTAATAATTAAAACTAATTTCCTAATCTTCACTCGGTAAAGGGGGGAAAAAAAATACAAATAGTTTTCAGACAATGGAGAAAATGAAACTTTGGTGGTCATAACTTCAGTCATCTTTCGGAGAGGGAATCTTGCTTTTCCCCATTTTTAGTTTTTACTTGTGCCACGAGCCAACTTCGGAAGTGGATAAAACTAAAATAAACAGCTGCTCTGATTCTGACAATGTGAGCTGGTGATCTAAGAGAACTTAAAAGATCAAAGGTATTAGGCACAATTCAGAGAATAAGGTCATAAAAACATGGGAAGAACATAAGAAGAGCCTGCTGGATCAGGCCACTGGCTTATCTACTCCCTTCATCCTGTTCCCACAGTGGCCAACCAGATGGCCATGGGAAACTAGCAAGCAGGATTCCCCTCTCCTGTGGTTTCCGCCAACTGGAATTCAGAAGCATTGCTGTCTCCAACTATGGCTAGCAGCCATTGATCACCCTCTCGCCTGTGAATTTGTCTAATCTATCTTTTAAAGCCATCTAGGTTGGTAGCAACTGGAATGATAGGGTTCCAGTGGAATCACCAGGACTTCACTGCTTATCCAGAGGGTGTTCATATGAATAACCCTCACTTGTTGCTAAGGGAGCAGGGTTGTGCCCAGCTTCCACCCCTACAACACAAGAGCAGCCACGCCACCCACTGGCACATTGGAAGGGTGTACAGTGGTGCCTCAGGTTAAGAACTTAATTCGTTCTGGAGGTCCGTTCTTAACCTGAAACTGTTCTTAACCTGAGGTACCACTTTAGCTAATGGGGCCTCACACTGCCGCCACGCAATTTCTGTTCTCATCCTGAAGCAAAGTTCTTAACCCGAGGTACTATTTCTGGGTTAGTGGAGTCTGTAACCTGAAGCATCTGTAACCTGAAGCGTCTGTAACCCAAGGTACCACTGTACCAATATTCCCTGTTCAGGGAAGTTTTTAATGTGTGACATTTTAATGTATTTTTGATCTTTGTTGGAAGCCGCCCAGAATGGTTGGGGAAACCCTGCCAGATTGGGGGGGGGGGTACAAATAATAAATTATTATTGTACGTGCATAGACATCCTTCATGTGGGAGAGATCCTCACCGGGTCTTCTGAATGTGTAGATCAGTATTTCCCAAACTTGGGTCTCCAGCTAATTTTGGACTACAATTCACATCATCACTGACCACTGGGCCTGCTATCTAGGGAAAATGGGAGTTGTAGTCCAAAAACAGCTGGAGACCCAAGTTTGGGAAATGCAGATGTAGATATTGGTAGAGTGGATGCCACTCCCCACATCAAAGCTTGAAGAACAATCTTTATACGTCATAAAACTTGCACCATTCTTGCATTTTGCCCAAGCAAAGCAAGCGTGCTCCTGTCATGCAACACAGTAAGTCAGATATTAGTTTGTACAGTAAGTGTGATATATACTCATGAGTTAATGGCACTAAGCTTCTATTATTACAGCTTTTAATGTAATCAATCATGAGCTAGATGAACGAGTGAATGCTGGAATGAATATTATCTCTGCTTAAACTGCTGAAAGCTGTTAATGGCTATCTGAAATAAACCGGCTTTTGCCACGGAAAAACCAAGATGTGAGCTACCCTCCTTGGAAGTTACGAATCAGCATAGTATAAAATAGTATAAATTGGGTGAAATCACGCAGTCAGGGAAGTGGTCTTCCACAAAGGGCAACAGCATCCTGTTAAGGCCAGAGATCCCTGTACTCATGGTCACAACATGCTTGTCATTACCTTTCAGCAGAGGAAACAGAGAAAGGTCTGAGTAACTTCTCAGAGGGCTGAACAACTAGATGCAAGAAAATTGTAAGAACTTTGGGGACAAAGATGTCTTGGGGCAAAAACCTCTGCAGCATCCTAAGAAGCAGTCCATCAGCATTCCATTCCACTATTCCTCTGTACAGTGGTACCTCGGGTTAAGAACTTAATTCATTCCGGAAGTCCGTTCTTAACCTGAAACTGTTCTTAACCTGAAGCACCACTTTAGCTAATGGGGCCTCCTGCTGCTGCTGCGCTGCCGCTGTGTGATTTCTGTTCTCATCCTGATGCAAAGTTCTTAGCCCGAGGTACTATTTCTGGGTTAGCGGAGTCTGTAACCTGAAGCATCTGTAACCTGAAGCGTCTGTAACCCGAGGTACCACCGTACTGCTACAATGGCCATCTAGTCAGTCAGAAGCCCAATCTTCGGAAACTCTCCTTTGATTATTTTTTAAGAACTTTAGCTGCAAATTGCATTACAAAACATAACAAACAAATTTGTACACCAGAGTTCCTTACGGAAACACTTAAGGATGTTGGCAGAAAGCTTAACAGAGTCATGCATTTTCTTAACGGGCGCAACAAAAAATATAGATAGAATCTTTCATCATCCTTGCGAGATATTACTGGGTGAGGAGGCCTAAGTACATTTCTAGTTACAAACATTTGTCATGTTCAGTCTTTATTTGGACGTTATTCCAAAGATGTCTATATGCAAGATGTTGCATACTGTGGTATTGTATTATGACCCAAAGCTTCCAGGCTTTCTGTAACACTTTCTAAGCTTATGGGTTTATTCAGCCCTTCACTATGCTGCTTTACACTCTAGTTCTCGCTATGTCTCAAGAATAATGAAAAAATAAGCCTTTGCCTCTCTGGGAATCTCATGTGGGGCAGTGAATTTGCTGGTTGCAGAAGTGTAGTCGGCTTCCACCTTATGGTTAACAGGTCAATTTGCAAATAAACCCAAAGACTGCAAAAACAAGATAAAGTATCCAGTGATCACTTATTCTGAAGAGATGAAAGCTGGGTAAGTGCTGCCCTTGAACTTCTCACTGCTCAATTAAATGGGGAATGTGAAATTTAGGGTCCTCATACTTCTGGAAATCAGAAAGGAGAAAGAGACTAGACCAAATATGGTGTCCCTGTTCGCTTCCACCCTCCTTTACATTCTGATATCTTGCTCTCCTCTTCCATCATGTTTCCCTTTCTTTGTCTGATACAGAAAATGATAATAATAAATAAAATCTCCCCCGGCTTCTGTCAGGGGACAAAAAGGGGAGCACCGTGGCCTTTGTGCCCTAATTTAACCTGAAGAGAAGAAGATGGACCAGATGAGGAACAAAAGAAGACTTCCCACCTGGATCAGGCCAAAGCCCACCTAATCCAGCATTCTGTTCTCGCACTGGCCAATTGTGATAGGAAGCCCATAGGCAGGACCTGAATGCAACAGCTATGAATGGGTGAACTGGACAATTTCAGTTTTCTATTTTTCAGTCTTAAATTTGGTCCTCCACATTTCCACCTCCAGGGCATGAGTTCATATTTATTTAAAAGGCCTCATGGAAATTCATCAGCATTTTAGCACCAAAAAAAATGCTTTGTAATGCAATTTTGCCTAAAATACACACATGTTTAGGGAAGTTTTTAATGTTTGATTCTATTTTTAATATTCTGTTGGGAGCTGCCCAGAGTGGCTGGGTATAAATAATAAATTATTATTATTATTATTATTATTATTATTATTATTATGCAAACCAGTGTTACCTAGTTAACACTTTTTTTACAAAGCATTTTTGCTTGCATAATGGTTCTTGGTTCACTAACGCAGGCTTGTTTTCGGTCCAATACAGCTTGTATTGGACTAGACCAGTGGTTCCCAACCTTTTTTTGGCCATGCCCCACCTAAGCAGCTCTAAAATCCTGATTCCCCCCTCTCCCCGGTGACATATAATTCTTATTATTCAAAAAATGAACTCCTATTCACATGGAGGAAGCCTAAAAGGCCATTCACTGTTAATAACGCATTCTTGAATCCCCCCCCCACCTTAAAAATCAAATTGCCCCCCTGTGGGGCATGTACCTCACGTTGGGAACCACAGGACTAGACAAACTTCAGCCCTAATTTATATCCTGCCTTTCACAACATGGTCCCAGGCTAGGGCACAACATCTCAAAGTGCATTCAACGAAGTATCAAGAAATTACACTAAATAATAAAACTTGATTTAAAACGAAGCAGTGCAAATTAAGCATATGCATCCCTTACTTGGGAAAAACTGAAGGCTTATTCACATACCTTATGCATGAGGGGGCTCCACGAACAGAAGGGGGAGTGGCCCAATTCCAAAGTCATGCCACACTGGGCCCATTTTCCCTCCTCCTAAACGCTCACAAAGAACTAATATTAAAACAGCTGCTCTCCTATGGCTTTGAATCCACTCAATTGCCCCCCGGCCCGTGCCCCCCCCCCAGCTACGGTTTCACCAGATTAATAAGGGACAATATTGTGGTTGGGGAGATATGAAAAGCGTCTTGGCGAGTCCTCGCTAGATTGCTCTTCAAAGCAAATTCGACACACAGCCTTCAGGACTGGTGTTTTAAAGCCAATTTTACTGGGTAAATGAGAAATGAAATGAGATAATGTGTGCAATAATTGTCTTCTAGTTCATTACCGCTCTTCAGAAACCCAAACGTGTACAATCAAGTCATTTTCTTGAGCCAGTGAGATTGCCACGTTAAATGCCTATGTCTTTCTCTCCACCCCCACCCCGCTCCCGCCGCCACCTAATATTAACTCAGCAGACACTTACAGGACCTGCTACATCTGCCTATGAAACATATAAGCAGCAGGAATTAAATTGAGGTTAGCTTCTTAGTTACAGCCTGAAGCAATGTTGGAGGATCAACACAGTCCTGGTTTATTTTTTATTTATTTTTCCTACAAAGGGAATTGTATTAAAAAGAGAAATGGATTACTCCTCTCCTAAAATCCAGCCCCCTGAGCATTGAGGATTAATGGTCCGTGTACAGTGAGAAACTCCACCCTCTGAGAAAAAAGCTGCCGGTCTCTTATAAAGGCCAGATCTGAATTAGAGGAAAACAAAGCATAAGAACTGCCATGCTCAGAGAAACAGCATTGGCTGCAAACTTGGAACATGGAAAATGTGTGTGTGTGTGTGTGTGAGAGAGAGAGAGAGAGAGAGAGAGAGCGCGCATAGGAAAATCAGAACATGTGTGAGGTTGAGTAATCATCTCTCCTAGAATAAAACAGCTCTCCTAGCCCTCTCCAATGAAGTGCTAGATAAAAGCTTTAGCCAACCCTAAGGAAGTAGCAAAACAGTGGCTGACAGAAGCACAGCAAGTGACAGAGGTCGCTGCCAGCTGCATCCACGTGTGATCGTTTCTCCCCGCATTTGTGCATGTGTCGCATGGAGGACATAAGCGGGGCTTGCACTGGAAACTCTAAGCCTCCCATGACTTAAGCATTTAACTGTGCAGTTTAATCCCACTTACGGTAGTGGGACTTAGTCATAACTGACTTTCATTGTGCACAATGAGCCTAAGCCAGTGTGACCCCAGCAAAAGATTGTGGGCATCACACCAAGATATCTGTGTGTCTCCTAGCTCAGACACGGACAGGGCAAACAGCTATCCCATTCCTACCTGTACTAACTTCTCACCTGTAGGCACCTGTACTTTCCCAAACACCTCTCCAGAGTATTGGAGTGAATGAATTTTATTATTTCGGTCACAGACCAGTTCCAGCCCACATACAATATCAAGGAAGCCATAAAACACGATAGAGATACACTTGAATTTGCAATTAGGTATAACAGGGACAAAACAGATATAGCAACAGTTTAAAAATAAATAAATAATAATTTATACCCCGCCCTCCCTAGCCAAGACCGGGCTCAGGATGGCTAACAACCAATAATAAAAACAAGTTGATTAAAATACAATTTAAAAAACAAGATTAAAATACAACATTAAAACATTAGGTTGCAGCCTCTTCACAGGAGGAGAAAGGAAAAAGAAAGAGGGGGAGGGAATCAAACTGTTTCTAAGCCAAAGGCCAGGTGGAACAACTCTGTCTTACAGGCCCTGAGGAAAGAAATCAGATCTTAGTCACTAACATATAACCTAAAATTATCATTTAAAACCTTGATCATTATGATAGCACAGCTTGTTCCCTAAGTTTTATGGCAATCACACAGAATTTAGCTACCCTTAACGTGATCTCAGGATCCTTGTCCTCTACCAGGGATTTTAGACACTGAAGTTTGGATTCAGAGTATAGGAGGTACTTACTAAATATTGAGCCGTATGGGTTCATACTGGGAGAGGCTGATAGCCTCACAACAGGTGCAATAGTTCTGCACAAACAGAGCACATGATTTCATCTACCTGATTTGGGGTGATCATTCCCTCCTCCTGCAACCCCTTATGATTCACAACGTTTGACAAGCCTTCAGTTATCATGAGAAGCTTTCCAAGACGTACAGGGGGCTGCAGCTGTTGATGGAGGAAGAAGGTCAACCTGTTACGTTGCACGACCTGGCCTTCTCCTAGTGCAACATCTGGGAAGGCAAAATTACAAAAACAACAGAGCATATGATTCCCAACACATTTTGGGTGAATAGAGATTTAAGGATCTGCTTTCTCTTTCCATGCTGCCTCGAAGGATGAGGCAGGATATAAAAATTTTAGATGAATCAATAAATGAAAAAGGCCATTCATGAGCAGAAATAGAAGCACAGACACAAAACATGATAATAAGCCTAAACTTTGATTAAGACTTGTAAGCTTACCACTGTATGATTAAACATAGATATCCTGGCTCATAAATAAACAACATTTCAGACTGCAATAAAATCATTCATTCAAATCTCAATAATTCAATATCCATCCTAACACGTTTCTATATATAACAATCAAGATCAGATACATGCCCACCACTTTAATGCATCAAAAATCAAATGGAACACATTTCCTCTGGGAGTGGGGGTGTAGCTGTTGATATAGCTAATACATTTGTAGGGTGCTTTCTAGAGCCTATTCTGGTTTGACACAAAAAGTTGCCCTCATCCTTCTCTTCTTTCTCAAAGACTGGCTTTTCAGCTGGCCCCCAGGTCTCCTCTCAACAAGCATTCAGGAGAGGGGAAAATAAAGTGAGGGTTCCTTTAAACCAAAAGAAATGCTAATACACTTTTGCTGGTGACATAAAGCAATGAAATATTACAATGTCACTTCCTTGACATCGCAGACCAAGGGGGCACAGTTGGCAATTTTCTGCTGACATCTCCAAGGATGCTATCGAGGGATCGAGTCGCCTGAAACTACTCAAACAAGACCAAAAGCTATTCTCCTCTCCCAGACAATTCCCCGAGCCAGAATGATGTTGTTTTCTAAGACCAGGATCCAAAGTAGAAAGTTGACCCAATGCAATTTTCATTAAAAGAAACAAGGAGACTCAATAACTGATGCTCTGAAGAGGTTGGATACTAAAGCTGGGGTTCAAATAGTGGTTTTAGGTCGTCCCCCCCCCAAAAAAAGCTTATCTCTATTCAGTTACATTTGAGGCCATGGGTAGCCAAAGTGCATCATTCAAATGCTGTTGGACTACAACTCCCATACTGTCTGGCCACTGGCTATGCTGACTGGGGCTGATGGAAACTGGAGTCCAGCAACATCTGGAGTGTACCATGTTGGCGACGTCTGTGTTAGAGAATTTTTTTAAATATATATTTTAGTATTTAACAGGCAACATACCTCACACCAAACACACATCATGTCTATAACCAGCTCTTGAATTTTATCGGTACTTGCTACACAATGCTGTGTGTGTTTGCTGCTCAAGAAACAATTCCAAAGCCTTCAAGAACAAATGATAGAGATCTTTGGATTCTGGAAGTCAAGATTGACCCAATATCTCCTCCCTTCCTCATGTGGAGAACCTTGGCACCAGTGTTTCCCAAACTTGGGTCTCTAGTTGTTTTTGGACAACAATTCCCATCATCCCTGACTGCTGGCCATGCTGGTTAGGAGTGATGGAAGTTGTAGTCCAACAACATCTTGGAACCCAAGGTTGAGAAAGGCTGCTCTAGATGTTTAGGTCTACAATTTCTATCAAGCTGGCTGAGGCTGTTGGAACTCATAGCTCAAATAGAAGGGCAGAACAGTTATGTAGGGCTATCCCAAAGTTCCTTGGTTTTCTATGGTAGAAGTAGTCATATTTACTGTGAAATGGGGAATGGGGGAAGTATTCTAATTTTTGCATAAAGGAAAAAAAATATTTTGGCTCCTTCACTTTAACTCTTCTCTGTATAAGTAGCATTGTCCTCAAAGAGGTATGTAGGATACACTGGCCCAGTTCACACATGACACTAATCCAATCCAAACCATGGTTTAACATGAATCAGGAAATGTGTGGGTTCCCAGAATGAAGACCATGACTGCTGCACTCAGCCCTTGGTGCTGCTTCTTCACCAACTGGGTTTGAACATAAACCATGGCTTAGCCGGATCGTAGCCACTGTGCTGCTCCTCTAGTCCTGCCATGGTTTGGCTTAGCATTATGTCTGAACCCAGGCTCATGGCTTGTCTTACTCTAGATAACCCACAAGCTATAACCAATATTTGTTCTTGGTCTACTGTTTATGGTTTGCCTAGGGGATACAAACCATGACCTTCGGTCTGGACATACAGTGGTACCTCAGAACTCAAACGGAATCCATTCTGGAAGTCCATTTGACTTCCCAAATGTTCGGAAGCCGCAGAGCCACAAGAGACGTGCAGGTTCCAAAGAACGTTCGCAAACCAGAACATTCAATTCTGGGTTTGAAACATTCGGAAGCCAAAACGTCGACTGGCAAGGCGTTCGACTTCAAAGGTTCAACTATAATGCTAAGCCAAATTCTAAACCATAGCTTAGCCTCGGGTAGTGTGGCAGCATCAGGACCAGGAGTGGTGAGCTATGGCTATGAGCTTCACTCCAGGAACCTAAACATTTGCTCATTTGTGCTAAGTTATGGTTTCGCTTAGTGCTGCGTGTTAACTTGCACCTGAAAACTATTTGAATAAGCCTCTGTATGTCATTTTTCCAGTCGCAAGAAACCTAGAAATGCCATAAAAATTAATCTAGCACTTGATATTTTGAAGCTCTTTTCCATTTAAAATTCTATAACTCATAACATTATTGATTTATGGGAGGGTGTGTGGCATAAACTTTATTTTTCAGCAAGTGCATTCTGCTTAGAGAAATGCCTAGATAAAGCTCACCAGGGAATAGAGAGCAAGCAGCGCTTCGCACCTTGCCCTTTGTTTAGATTGTCAGTTCTTCCTTTTGATCTCTCTTCTGCACTTGAAAAAACCCAAAAATTGATTTTCCCAGATGAGCGAAAAGTAGAAAAGGGACGATGTTTTATTAAAAGATTCTTCATTCTCCCCACAAACTCTTATTTCCTTATTTATACACAAAGAATACCAATCATCTTTGTTGTTTTGGGAAACTCGATTACAGGAAAGAGATGCTCTCAGAAATTCATTCATTGCAGAATAATTCACAGAACAGCTGTTTCTAATCACTCAAAGTTGCCTCAATTGGGAGATTTTTTTTTAATATCTCAAAAAAACGCACAAAATGAGCCTTGTAATGGCATTCAAAACAGAATCTCAAAAAAAGAAAGAAGAAAAGAGGGGAAATCTGCACTGTAAGAACATACAAAAATGTCAGTGTGGACGCTTTAGCTGAAGAACGGAGCCATGTTTTGGAGTATGAGCATATGAACCTTTCTTACTCTGTGTCTATCTTGTTACTTGAGGTCCATCTAGGTCTTTACTGTCTACCCCTGTTCTCCACAACCACCTGCAGCACTCTTTCCCAGTCCTGCTGCTTAAGACCACCTAAAAAAGGAGATTGGACCTGGGACTTCCTACTGAAAGAAGCATATACCGTTCTCGTTCCCACGTTGTGCTGAGCCAAAACATGGCTTAGTCAGAACTTAGTCAGATTGCATCTGCTTTGCTATTGCCTGGTCACTCTGCTGCAGCACTAAGTGAACTAACTCAAAGTTTGCCTCAACATGTAGTCTGAAACCAGGCTAATTGCATAGCTCTCCCAGACAAACCACAAGCTGAAAACCATTGAAAACCCTTTGGTTATAGCTCATGACTTTTGTGGAGAGAGCTAAACTATGAGTGCAGCACAGAAGGACTAGGGGAGGAGAAAAGAAACCACAATCTACTCTCCAAGTGGTCATATTTTTGTGCAAGGCCATGATTTGCCTTGGTGTGACACAAAAACCAGACTCCTATATCATGGAGATGTGCCTCCTTCCCATTTTTCTCAGGAACAGAGATGGAACCACAGAAATCATCTCTGACATTGTCATAACTGCATATTTTTGGGTAGTGGTCTTTTGACCAATTTCTACTTAACTGGGGGGGGGGGAGAGAGAAAAAGAGGGAACACTGTCCACATTCAGGCATCCCCTCCAAGCGTATGTTAAACATGTGAAGAAGGGAAGCTCCCAACATCTGTGCCTTCAATAGGACGTCCAGCAAGGGAATCCAATGAGTGGGACTCCCAATTTGTTCCACAACTGAATTGCATGCTTCTTCAATGCCAGGAAAATTGTGGTTGTCAGTTGCAATCTGTCATATCCTCAGCAAAAGGAAAAGGAAAATGACAACTACAGTGATACCTTGGGTTACAGACGCTTCAGGTTACAGATTCCACTAACCCAGAAATAGTACCTCAGATTAAGAACTTTACCTCAGGATGAGAACAGAAATCGTGTGGTAGCAGCGGGAGGCCCCATTAGCTAAAGTGGTACCTCAGGTTAAGAACAGTTTCAGGTTAAGAACGGACCTCTGGAACGAATTAAGTTCTTAACCCGAGGTACCACTGTATTTAAATCTGACTGTGCCTATAACAAGTGGATGGAGGGTGAAAATGTATCACCATTTTGGTTTGCTGCCTGAGGGGGAAGAGTCAATGAGCAGACAGAAGAGAAAAAAAACACGACTTCCGGGTTAGCGCCTCCGGCAATGGAGGAATTCCTCTGATCGGGAGGAATCCGCTCCGTGGAAATCAGGGTCTGGCCGCCACAGCGAAGGCGGAGACCCACTAAAAACCACAGGCGGGAGAAGCCTGCAGATGTGGGATTCGGCCGGCACCTTTGTGCCCCCCCTACTCGCGGGGAAACCCGGTTTCGGGGATCCGGAGCGACGTGGGGTGAGTGGCGCGGTGCTTCGAATCGACTGCTTCTTTCACGGAGTGAAGCCGCATTGCTGTTGCAGGAGAGCGCTGACTTTTTCCTGTAGACAATTTGATCTTAAAACAACTACCCGTGAGTAGAACGGAAAATTGGGTTTTTAAACGTCTTAATTTGGCACAGAAACGGGGAGGTTTCAAACAGGAAGTCCGCCTCCCCCTTTTGTAAATAGATTGAAGCAAAGAGGCTGCAAGCTAAAGCCTTGGAAAGTCTCACATAAAGGATTAAACTTCCATCGGTTAAACCATCAAACCCCCCTTGGAAGCAGGAGAAGAGGGGGGAAATTTAAGATCGCGTAAGCCTGCAGGAGAGAGTGAAGAAAGTCAAATAACCACCGCTCTGAACCTGGAAACGGGCTGCTAGTAAAGACTGAAGTTTCGGATATGCTCATTGACTGTGAATAGATCGTCTGCTGACAGTAAGTTAAAGAAGAGAAATACAATGTTTCCATTGTCTCCTTCTGCATTTAAAAAGGAGTAAAAGTAACTGAAAATTGAAACTAACTTTATTGTTTCAACTGTGCTTAAAAGGATTGATACAAATAGAAATTGTTTCCCCCTAGAGGAAGCCTTTGAAATTGTTACAAGAGCTGAGCTGGGGGAATTTTCCATCTGCAAGATAAAACTGTGAGAATCTGGGATTGACCTTGAATCGTTAAGAATGTTGACAGAAGAAGCCTTAGTGGTTGCATTTTGCAAGATTAGTGAATCACTGGAACAGCTTTATAAGAAGACGGATGCGAGGACTATAAAAATTGATAACTTGGAACAAAAAGTGACTAATTTGGCACAAAAAGTCAATATTAATACAGAAATTATTCAGGAATCGATACAGGGATCTATTTTGACATGGCAAATTGAGGAGAAGGCGGGGGAGAAAGTTTTTGCTGTGGAACCTAAAGCAGCACAAGTGGCGAAGGAGAGAGCTCCAGCCTTACAGTTGCAATTTGATGATTATAAGTTGATGCCTTCCAAGACTGAATTTAGAGAAAGCCAGACTTTTAGGATTGGAGCCCCGCTTGGACTGGAGATTGACCTTTGGGACCTGGACTTGGGTCAGAAGGAGACTGGAGTTGTGGGGACTGCCAGACTTGGAGGAACTTTGAAACACGACTGGAAATATCTTTTGAATTTCAGTTCTAACTATGGAGATTTGGCTGACTTGTCGAGAAGGAATAAAAACATTGCTAGATGGGAATTTCCCGGAGATCTACTTTTCAGCATCAAAGGAAGGAAAATAAGAACAAGATCAGGAGAAGACAAAGTAAAGTGCATGTATAAACATGAAGAAGACTTGCAGAAGGGACCTGGAAAAGAGTTAAGAGCCTCGGATAGAAGATCACCAGGTTGATGGGCTATTTGGAATTGACGGAAATGACTGGCAGAACCCGAGATCAGGGAGAAGAGACGGTGGAAGAATATTGGAGAAAGTTTAAAATCTATATGGAAATAATGTAAAATTAATGAGTGTCAGAAAAATGTTGGAAGGGAACTATACGGCTTTAGTAGAAATATTTTAAGGAATTAAGTATAAATAAGTATTATAGTATTAATGGAAAATAAGGTTAAAATATGTTAAGATAATTACATGACAGAAAATAGAGAAAGATGGAAAGGATTTGCTGAAACAATTAATAGAAATGGAATACAAAAAGGGAGGTGAGAGGAGGTCGATGAAACAAGGGAATGAAAGAGAGGATATTGAGATGGTATGATCTGTGTGTTTTTTTTGAATTGTTTTTGCTTTTGTTTTGTTTA